GGTTGGACTAAGTTGCCGATTGCGATGATGTAATCTTTGTGTGGGATGTTGTCGTCTATATCGATTAATAAAGCTTGATCTTTTTTGGGTATTAAGCTGTTTGCTACAGTTGAGGCGAATTATTGTTTGTTGATATCCGTGTTGATAGAACTGGTTGAAGTGTTGACGTTGGGTGAATTTTTTGGTGACATTTGATGTAGTGGTTTAGGATTTGATGTGATTTTTAATGAATTTGGTTTGGGTAAGCTTTTGGGTGTAGTTGGTGACGTTTTATTTTTTTGTTTTTGTACATCTTTTGAATAAGGTGGTTGAGGAATGGAGGGGCTTTTTAAAGCTGGTGGTTTTGTAAACATTTTATAGTGTTATGGGCTTGCGCCCGTTGGGTGTATTGTATATTAGCTAGTAGTATTAATAACGAACATACTACCTGCGATATGGTGCGTGTATAGTATACTGCTATCGAGAGCTATTAAAATCGGTACTCGTGAAACGCGATAAGTAACGTGTTGTCTGTACGGAGTCTAACAACGAACTGTTTTAGTATTTTTATTTAATACTTAAACACCATTTTTTCAAATATTTAGATTTTTATGTCGTTTAAGAAGTGACTCCTGTCGAAACTACAATACAAAATTATATTTATCAAACAGGAATTGCCCTTTTTTTCTGTAAATTTTTAAGTACAGTGGCCCACGCAGAGAGGGGTCAAGGGGTTGAACTAAAAAAATATTTTTTTATGTGAAACATCTAATGGTGGGGTTTGTGAGTAAAGCTGTTGGCGTGGTGAAGTCACCACACGCATGTAGCCATATGCGCAAAATATTTTATGCACCTTTAAAATATGTATAGAATATTTTTTCATAAAAAATCTGAATATTTTATTTTTGATTATGCTGAGTTTATTTTCTTTAATAAACCATACTTTTAACTTTTATGCATATTTATTATTTTCTATATAAAATAATTATATACGGCTATATATATTTTAATATTCGACTTAATTCCAATAAGGAATTTGCTTACGTATAATAATCCATCATTGCATATATGTGGTGAAAGACATAAGCGCCAAAATGTGATAAGACAAAAAAAATCGTACCTTACAAAAGCGCCAAAATTCTAGGTACCTGTGTGATACGCAGTGGCGGCTCGTGCCTAGGTGTGCAAGTGTGAGCTTACCACATATATTAATTAGATATAATAGTGAAAATGTATAATAATAATGCATTTATGTACAATAATTAATTCATTTTAACAAATATCTGTTTAACTGTATTTATTATATAAAAAAATTAAATTTTAAAAACAAACAAACGACAATTATTATTATACTCCTAATTAATATTTTTTAAAGTACTTAATATTATTTTCTAAAACTGTATAATCTCAAAATTAAAAATGCTAATAAATATTTTACTAATTACATTTATACTTAAGATAGAGTAATTTTTTTAAAATAAACTTTTGCAATGATTGCACGCCACCTACTTTGAACACCACGAGCCGCTGGTGCTACGGTTAATAGATATTAAATAACAGATACTATTATAATTAGAACTATATCGATCAAAAACTCCAAACGTTTAATTTTAATCGATAAATGTATTATTTTACAAAAACTCAACCAATTTATTAAATTTATATTTATTGCATGTATACATACCTATACTCATATTATATTTTAACAATTTATTATTGACAATTTTTTTAATGTAATATATTATATGAAATAAAATATTAATTTTGGCGTAAATGATAGGTCATTATTATACCTTTGGCGCTTATGCCATGTGTTAGGTAAAACAGGTATACAATATTAGATTGGCGCTTATGTCATACAAATTTTGGCGCAAATGATAGGTCATTTTTGTACCTTTGGCGCTTATGTCATATTTTATTTTCCTGTTTTCGCATATTTTTCGATTAACGTACCAGCTGTTCGTCGCAGTGGTGTAGACAGAAATTGTATGTATGGAGGTGGGTTATCATAATTATTACATATTGTAGAAAAATACTTTAAAATATAATGTTGGTAGTTTTAAATATTTTGGAAATACTAAATACATTTATAATATACTTAACATTTTCCAAGGGGGATTTGAACCTCCTAAATACTACACCCCCCTATAATCTATGTCTACTCTTAACGTGGTTCGTTTAAAGTTTATATTTTAAACAATAAAAAATGTTTTTTATGTATCTCTATTGTATAACGCCGCCTTGCGTGCTTATAATACTCAACAGGATGTGAGCATTTTGGCAAGCGAACTGGCCAACGTGAATGATTTGCAGGGAATACAGCGGCAGGATAAGGATACTGTAAGGCGTACAGCTCGAATGTCGTTTGTGAAGAATTTCGACAATGACGATGCCCAATTGCAAGCCATAGACAGCGATTTGCATGCGGCCCAGGTGACATTGCGTGACAGTAGGTCTGCCAACCAGCTGTTGAATCGTCGGATTTGGAAAGTTGAGGACATGTTGTTGAATGTCTACGAGAAAGCATCGGTTCATTTGGAAGAGGTATAGTTGATATTTATAATATAATATATGAATAAAATTAAATGTTGTCCGTCTTGAGAACGGTTGGCCCAATAATTTGGCTCATTGTTTTTAAAATATGCTTTAATAATTTCAATAAGTTTTTTACGAGAGATTACGAGGTCGAAAATCGCCCAAAAATTCCGAAAATTCAGGAAAACCCGAAAATTATGGAAACCAATTTTTAAAAAAAATGTTTCCATATGGTTGCTATTGGTTACATTTCACAGATTATAATAGAAACAGTAGAAATTATTTGTAGAAATTATTTTTTTTTCTGTTTTTAAACGGCTGCCATTGATTGAGGGGATGAGTAAAAACATGCATACAATCGTAGCGTCAAAAAATATATAAAATCATAAAGCAAATATAATTGCAGAATTTATGTTTTTAGCTTATATACCCAAAAACTATATTTGAATGATTTTATGAACATTTCAAATTGTTCTTAGAGATATCAGGAAAATGTGGAACATCAATTTATATCGAGTACTATATCTAATCCATCACAGGCCAATTTCGTATCTCGGTCGAATTAGTTTATAAACCGAAGTACGCCGGACGCTGATTTACTCGTGAATTGAGATATACTAAAATCAAAATTTGAAAATTAAAAAAAAAAACAAAATAATTTGAAAAATAAAATAATAAAAATAGTTTGAAAAAAAATTTACAAGCTAATAGTTGGGTTATACGGCTAAAAATGGATGTCAGTATATCCGAGGTTAATATAGTCAATAACTAACTACCAGACCGTTTTCAAAAATAATAGATTCCTTGAAACTTGGAGGATGTTATTTATAGCTTTTTTCGAACTTCTATATGTAGCTAAGGGTAGCTCAACAATTTTCAGTTCATAAAAAAACAATATTTTTTTTGTTTATTTAAATGGTTGCCATTAGTCGCACATTTAAAAATATTATAATATTATGCATATTTCTAAATTTATTTTTTTTTTTTTTAAAGAAAAGAATAAGCGTCGATGCGTGACCATTGGCTTGTTTTTTACATGTTTTTAAATAATTGAAATTAAATTGTACAATTGAATGCCTTTCATAACTAAAATTATATTTTTGATGGATTCATCGGCGAGTCCTAGAGCCTAGTCTTGAAGGTGTTCCGGCATATTTTTATAAAAACGGACGCTAATTCTTTACCTTATAAAATGGAAATTGCAACCCAATTTATCGTGAAATTGTATGCCAAGAATTAATGAAATTAAATCTCAAATTTTAATTTTCAAATAAAAATAAAAAATAACGCACTTTGAGCTTAAGTATGTCTAAGTCACAGGTGTACCTATGAGATACACATACCTCTTTAGCTAGAGTAGGTTATTTACAAATGTACACTATACCTTTATATTTTATAATATATTGTAGTTATTATAAATTTCGAAAACACTTATGTACCTAAATTAAATATTCCGAAATTATATAATTAATGAAATAATGTGAATAATTCATTTTTAGATAAAATCAAATACAAACGAATCCGAGGAAAAAATGAATAGTTTTATTCAAAATCTATACAAAGAATTAAGAACATTTTATCTTTGAAGAAGACTAGTTATTCAAAAACAAAATGAGAAACTTGATCCAATATTATATGGTTTATTATGAATTGTTTGAATTAAATACATTGTTCATTAATAGAACAGTCTGTTTTAAGCAAAATGGTTCATAATATACGTAATAGTACAATACATTAAGTATCTCTTAAAAACCTACGATTGACAATATGCAATTATACAAACAAATACAATAGACATTTTAACATTTGGACATTTTGAACATTACTAGAATTAAATGAAAAATTTATAAAAAAATATAATCTGAAAAAAAATTGAAACGAAAATTTTGAAGAAAAAAAATAGAGGTATTTGTTCAATCACCAAAAACATATCATCTACGGTTCTTTGTTTATACAAATTAAGGGCCATTACCTCTATGCTGTATCGCTATTACGTTCTAAAACAGCGAATATGTGGCCCGATGTTTGCTGGAAATTTAGGACCAAAATAAAAAAACTCAACACCCTTAAATATAACCCAGATGAGCAAATTAAGTAAAATTGTGCGTAAGATCAAAAGATATAATTTTTTTAAAAAAATTTGATGATGAATTAATGAATATTTATAAGTTACTATGAAGTAGAGGTAAATTATTAAAAAAAAAATTTGAAGGGAGGCATGGGCACCCGGAGACAAACGAATAGTAAGAATCAAAATAAAAAAAAATTATAAAAATATGTTTGAAAATACATTAATTTAAAATTAAAAATGGGACGGGGTGCATTAGCGCCCGTGGGCAAATGAATTTTAAGGATCAAATTAAAAAAATGTATATTAAAAATAAACATTAATGACTGCAGTCTACCTTATCAGTGTTTCTAAACCCATAGCTTTATTTTCAATAATTATATAATGAATTAATGCATTTTATGTAAGGTACTAACTTGGTATCAAAATTTAAAAAATGTTTGTAAAAATTTGATCTAGATTTAAATTATTGAAAAAAAAAATTGAAGCGGAACATGGGAGACCGCAGGCCAATGAAATTTAAGAATCAATTAAAAAAAATGTATAAAAAAATGTACATTAAAAACAAATATTATAGACTGCAGTCTACAATTTCAGTATTCCAAAATACCTAACCTTTGAAGGGGTGCATTAGCGCCCGCAGGCAAATGAATTTTAAGAACCAAAATAAAAAAAATTATAAAAAAATATGTTTGTCTATACCTTAATTTAAAATTAAAAATGGGACTTGGTGCGTTAATTTCAGTGGGCAAATGAATTTTAAGAATCAAATTAAAAAAATGTACATTAAAAACAAATATTATGGACTGCAGTCTACAATATCAGTATTCCAAAATTCATAGCTTTATTTTCAATGATTATAATATAAATACTGAACTAGAGTTAAATAATAGACAAAAAAAAAATTTAAAGGGAGGCATGGGCGCCCGCAGGCAAATGAATTTTAAGAATCAAAATAAAAAAAAATATTAAAAGTAAATAGAATTGAAATTTAAAAATAAAAATGGGAAGAGGGCATAGGCGCCCGCAGGCAAATGAATTGTAAGAATCAAAATAAAAAAATGTATGAAAAAATGTAAATTAAAAACAAATATTAAAGACTGCGGTCTACAATATCAGTAGTCCTAAACTTATAGCCATATCTTCAATA